ATTATAATTTGTTGGACCAGGATAAACTGTGTATAGGTACGTTTTTTCTGATTCACTCCTCATGTATCTACTCTACACATTCTTTGTTGTCAGTTAAAATTGTTTCTTGTCTAGGTACCTTTTATATCATCTCTTATTTTTCTACTCTTTTTTGGTTTATGTTTTAATTTTTACAGTTTATTTTATGTATATTTTTCTTATATTTCGTTTATTTTACATTTTTTCTACATATTTTCCGCCATTGTGTCTGCTTGCAATCTGTTAATGCGATTCCGTATATTTATTTTACTTATTTTTTCTTGCATTTAGACGCCACCACAGTCTGTTTTATTGCAAATTGAAAAATTTTGTATATGTTGCATTTTGGTTAGACAAACAAAAATACCAACAAAATCTTGTTCTGATATCTGTTTTCTATAGATTTTTCCCTTTCCAAAAAATTAAGATATTTATAAGATACATATTTGTTGTATTTCAAGTTAGACACGAAATATTAAAAGTTTGAATATGTTTACTTAAGACTTGTGCATGGGTATATTTGCATATAGGTATTTGTTTGTTTTAATATGAGATAAGAATTGCGAAATTATTTGTTAAAAGAGTTATAGAAAAATCTGACCTACAATGGATTAAACTATAGTACAGACTGGTCTATAGACTAGAGTGCAGTTTCATCTATAGACTACAGTGTAATCTCATCTATAGGCTGGAGTGTAGTCTCATCTGTAGACTAGAGTGTAGTGTCATCTATAGACTAGAGTGTAGTCTCATCTATTGGCTAGAAGGTAGTCTCTTCTATAGACTAGAGTGTAGTCTCATCTATAGACTACAGTGTAGTCTCATCTTTAGACTAGAGTGTAGTCTCATCTACAGACTAGAGTGTAGTCTCATCTACAGACTAGAGTGTAGTCTCCTCTATAGACTAGAGTGTTTAGAGGACCAGTTTAGACCAGACCAGAGTGTTTAGAGGACCAGTTTAGACCAGACCAGACTGTAGTCTCGTCTATAGACCAGAAAAGACTGTAGTCTTGTCTATAGACCAGACCAGACTGTAGTCTCGTCTATAGACCAGACCAGGCTGTAGTGTCGTCTATAGACCAGACCAGATTGTAGTCTCCTCTATAGTCCAGACCAGACTGTAGTCTCGTCTATAGACCAGACTGTAGTGTCGTCTATAGATCAGACTGTAGTCTCGTCTATAGACCAGACTGTAGTCTCGTCTATAGACCAGACCAGATTGTAGTCTCCTCTATAGTCCAGACCAGACTGAAGTCTCGTCTATAGACCAGACTGTAGTGTCGTCTATAGATCAGACTGTAGTCTCGTCTAGACCAGACTGTAGTCTCGTCTATAGACCAGACTGTAGTTTCGTCTATAGACCAGACTGTAGTTTCGTCTATAGACCAGACTGTAGTCTCGTCTATAGACCAGACTGTAGTCTCGTCTATAGACCAGACTGTAGTCTCGTTTATAGACCACACTTTAGTCTCGTCTATAGACCAGACTGTAGTTTCGTCTATAGATTAGACTGACTGTAGACTCGTCTATAAATCAGACAGACTGTAGTTTCGTCTATAACTTAAACAAGCATAGAAAGATTTATACTATTGTTTATACTTTAAGCTATAGTTCAAGCTGAAGCTATAGTTTAGATAATATTTTAGACTAATGTTTGGATCAGGCATGGAAATTTGAAATTATGTACTAAATTTGTACTAAAGAAATTCTAAATTACTTTTCGGCTTTATCTATTGTCTAATCTACTGGACTAATCTATTTACTAGTTTATTCAATAGAATATGAACTTTACTGATTACTCTATAAACTAGTCCTTTGACCATCTATGGGCTACTCTTTTCACTAGTCCATTGACTAGTCTTTTGACTAATCTATGGGCTAGTCTATTGACTAAAAACATGTTTTTTGATTAGTCTGTGAATGAGTCTTTCGTCTACTCTATAGACTGCTCTTTTCACTAGTCACTTGATATGGACTATATGTATATGGACTATAGAATACTGTTCCGACTAGTCTATTGACTACTCTATAAAATTATCATTGGACCAGTCAATAGAGTACTCTATGGACTAGTTTATGTTGTAGTCTATTAGCAAATTCAATGAATACTATACAATTTGTAAATACATATGTCGGTATTTTTTGTTGTGATAAAGTATTGAAAAAAGATATAATAATCTACATTTTCCAGCCCTGGTGTAGACAATGGTGTGCACCATACATAAATTCCATAAAAATGCAACTTTACTTTAACATTTTCTTTAGTTTTACTTTAAAAATAAATTCTGTGGTTTTTAGTTGATAAACTGTTTCTTGCAGTTTCATTTCTATCGATTTCTTTGGCACTCTCAATACCAAATGATGTGGTTAAAATGTTTACACCAACCACATCACATGAAACATCCACAACAGACCGCATCCGACACCAACTCTCAATAACGTCTTAAAAATAGTATACTTCATCAATTTTATGGTTTTTATATGAGTATGAACGTACAAAAGAAGAGTTTGTCTGTTGCAATTGATACTTTAAAGAAAAAGTTTATTTAAACATTGGGTTTTTTTATAAACCACATTCTATGATGTATAGGAACTTGGCCATTTCTTTTCTTTTAAGGAAATATAGTTTTTCTCTCAATATCTCACTGCCACTGTTTGTCTTTGTGTGACATTATCTTAAGGATTTGAAGTCATTTTTTAAAATTCCTCTTCTTCTTAATGTGAGGGCACAATACATCAATGCAATTTTTTGTTAAATTTCTTTTTTAGTTGGTTTTATTACATCTGCGGAATTGTTTTAAATGTACATAAAGTTCATAAAGGGAATTCTGAATGTTTAATGATAAAATTATCTGGTAGTGGGAAAGGATTCAACCGCAATCACTTTGTAATTGAGGGTATTAAGCATATTTGTATTTATTGGTATAATAGGCCAATAAATACAAATATGAATTTTGTCCCAATTCAAGTTTAAATTACAGATCATTTATTTAATAACTTTTAATTTAATAAATTTTAAAAATAGCTTTATTCGCATTTTGTTCTATTTCTGATTGAGTTTAACGTTCAATGTACGACTTTTAATTTTATTGTATTCATAAATTTTTCTTAAGCGTTATTTTTTCATTGTTGTTTCATATTTGGGCTTGTATTGTGTGTTGTTGCTGCTGCAGTTTGTTCTCCATTTATGTTCATTGGACATGTTTAAAATGCAAACATGGTTCTTGATTTTTTCAATGTTCAATAGGTTTTTTTATTCTCTACAACTATTATTATAATTCATTGTATTGTATGTATGAAAAAAACCCGACTTAACATTGACAGCATATAAATTCTAGATTGGGGTAATCAATTATGCATATTTTATTTGTAAGAGAGTTTAGAATAAAATCCGATTAAACAAATTTGCACTTTAGACTGCATTTGCACTAAGTTTTTTGCATAAATGAAAAATTTTCTAGAAGGAAATTTGTCGAAATTTTTTTATAAGAAAATGTATGGCAAATACTCGAAATTTATCGAAAGTTTTCTATTAAAAGAATATTTATTTATTTTATAGAAATTTTCCTATAACATGAAAAATTTTCAACAATTTTCATAAAAATTAAATTTATCGCAAATTTTCTATAAAAAGAAAATTTATCGTAAATTTTCTATAAAAAGAAAATTTATCGTAAATTTTCTATAAAAAGAAAATTTATCGTAAATTTTCTATAAAAAGAAAATTTATCGTAAATTTTCTATAAAAAGAAAATTTATCGTAAATTTTCTACGAAAGGAAAATTTATCGTACTTATTAAAATTTATTAAAAATTTTCTTTAAAAGAAAATTTCCTATAAAAAAGAATATTTAACCGAAAATTTCTATAAAAAAAATTATCGAACATTTTCTATTAAACGAAAATTTATCGAATGTTTTCTATAAAAAAATTATCGAACATTTTCTATAAAAGAAAATTTAATAACATTTTTCTATAAAAAGAAATTTGAACGAAAATTTTCTATAAAAAGAAAGTTAACGAAAATTTTCTATAAAAAGAAAATTTAACGAAAATTGTCTATAAAACGGAAATGTATAGTAAATGTTCTATAAAAGGAAAAGTTATAGAAAAATTTATATAAATGACAATATATCGTAAAATTTCTGAAAAAAGAAAATTTATCGTAAATTTTCTATAAAAAGGAAATTTATCGTAAATTTATGGTAAATTTTCTATAAAAAGAAAATTTATGGTAAATTTTCTATAAAAAGAAAATTTATGGTAAATTTTCTATAAAAAGAAAATTTATGGTAAATTTTCTATAAAAAGAAAATTTCTCGTAAATTTTCTATAAAAAAATAATTATCGTAAATTTTCTATAAAAAGAAATTTTATCGTAAATTTTCCATAAAAAGAAAATTTATCGTAAATTTTCTATAAAAATAAAATGTATCGTAAATTTTCTATAAAAATAAAATGTATCGTAAATTTTCTATAAAAAGAAAATTTATCGTAAATATTTTATAAAAAGAAAATTTATCGTAAATATTCTATAAAAAGAAAATTTATCGTAACTTTTCTATAAAAAGAAAATTTATCATAAATTTTCTACAAAAAGAAAATTTATCGTAAATTTTTTATAAAAAGAAAATTTATCTTAAATTTTTTATAAAAAGAAAATTTATCGTAAATTTTCTACAAAAAGAAAATTCATCGTAAATGTTCTATAGAAAGAAAAGTTATCGTAAATGTTCTATAGAAAGAAAAGTTATCGTAAAATTTTCTATAAAAAGAAAATTTATCGAAAATTTTCTATAAATTTTTCGAAAATTTTTTATAAAAAGAATATTTATCTTAATTTTTTTACAAAAATAAATTTTATCGTAATTTTTTTACAAATAGAAAGTAAAATTTATCGAGACCGAAAAAATTATTTTATATCGATTTAGTCTGACTCAATCAACTATAATTTCTTACTTGATTTTCATTGAATATTTATAGAGAACTTACGATTCGTTGTAAAGGAAAGCAAATACAAAAAAGTGAAAACAAAAATGTAAAATACATTATCGACATAATAATTGATAATGAAAATGCGTAAAAGGAAAATACAGCGAAATCATTAATGGCGGCAGCAATTCTTTTCCCACAATATAAAATCAAATAATAATCGATTCAAACTGTCAGCGAATAAAATCGTTCCATCCTTTACAACTCTATAGTCTCGAAATCGAAAACAAAGAAAACCAGATGCAACAATTGCATTTTTTTAAATCATCAACTGATTATCGTTGTTGTTGTTGCTTTTGGTTGAACGTGAGTATACACCATATATAGTGTAAAATCAATTAAAAAATATACAACAAAATTAACATAACAGATACGTGAGACCCACCGACAGACGTACTGACAGTCAGACAGATTTGCATACATGTGTACGACTTAAAACAGACCTTAAAATTGCAAACACTGTCTTGTAAAACTCTATTGTTGTTGTTATTTTTTTTCTCATTTTGTTGTTGTAGTCTTTGGCATATATTGATTATAACATTATTATATTCACATTGTAATCTCTTTGTCTTGAGTTTCTATATATTCATTCTTTCGTTTTTTTATAATTTTCTGCTACGTTTCAGGAAATTCAATATTTAAACAGTGCAGGAGAGTGAAAAAGAGATACTGAGAATAAAATACACCAAGCAGTTTTTATATTAAAAACGAAAAAATAACACAAATAATCAGTTTATTGTGGTATATTGTTGTACTTTGAAAGTGGAACGACGACTGTAAAATCTAAAAGAGATACAAAAACATCGCAAAAATACAAAGACACATTTTTGTTGATGGTATTTTCTGTTTATTTAAGGAGTTGATTTCAACAAACACTTCCACAACTCATACCGTCATATAGACAGATACTAACTAAGCAACCAACCATTCAACCAAGTTACCATCACCATCAACACCACCACCAACCACTAGCACTAACAACCAACCAATATCAATATCAAGCGCACTAGAGCGAAATCATCATTTTGTTTTATTACAAAAACTAGCGGCAGACGGTTATTTACCCTTTAATGAAAAAAATTTAAAATAAAAATATAAAAAAATTGTACAAGCTGTAAAACGAAACGATCTTTAGCAAAAAATTACAACACAAAGAAAGACGCTGACAGCAAAAAATCTGAGTAAGTTTTATTTTTTTAGTTTTCATTAAGACAACTCTATTGTCTGGGGTCTAGGTTGCACCATTTCCAGGAATATTTGAAAGAATATGTTTCTTCCATAAGGAAATAAAAAGCAACATTTTATCTGAACCATTGTTTAGGTATCAATTATTTGTCGTAAATTTTCTATAAAAAAAATGTATCGCAAATTTTGATATAAAAAGAAAATTTATCGTATTTTTCTATACAAAGAAAATTTATCGTAAATTTTTTATTTATAACAAGAAAATGTATCGTAAATTTTCTACAAAAATAAAAGAAATTTATCGTAAATTTTCTATAAAAATCCAATTTGCCGTAAATTTTCTATAAAAAGAAAATTTATCGTAAATTTCCTATAAAAAGAGAATTTATAGTAAATTTCTATAAAAAGAGAATTTATCGTAAATTTTCTATAAAAAGAAAATTTATCGTACATTTTCTATAAAAAGAAAATTGATCGTTAATTTTCTATAAAAAAAATTTATCGTAAAGTTTCTATAAAAAGAAAATTTATCGTAAATTTTCTATAAAAAGAAAATTTATAGTAAATTTTCTATAAAAAGAAAATTTATCGTAAATTTTCTATAAAAAGAAAATTTATCGTAAATTTTCTATAAAAAGAAAATTTATAAATAAAATTTTCTATAAAAAGAAAATTTATAAATAAAATTTTCTATAAAAAGAAAATTTATCGTAAATTTTCTATAAAAAGAAAATTTATCTTAAATTTTCTATAAAAAGAAAATTTATCGTAAATTTTTTATAAAAAGAAAATTTATCGTAATTTCTATAGAATGAAAATTTATCGTAAATTTTCTATAAAAGTAAAATTTATCGTTAATTTTCTATTAAAGTAAAATTTATCGTACATTTTCTATAAAAGTAAAATTTTATCGTAAATTTTCTGTAAAAGTAAAATTTATCGTAAATTTTCTATAAAAGTAAAATTTATCGTAAATTTTCTATAAAAGTAAAATTTATCGTAAATTGTCTATAAAAGTAAAATTTATCGTAAATTTTCTATAAAAGTAAAATTTATCGTAAATTTTCCATAAAATTAAATTTACCGTGAATTTTCTATAAAAGTAAAATTTATCGTAAATTTTCTATAAAAGTAAAATTTTATCGTAAATTTTCTGTAAAAGTAAAATTTATCGTAAATTTTCTATAAAAGTAAAATTTATCGTAAATTTTCTATAAAAGTAAAATTTATCGTAAATTTTCTATAAAAGTAAAATTTATCGTAAATTTAAAAAGAAAATTTATCGTAAATTTAAAAAGAAAATTTATCGTAAATTTTCTATAAAAAAAAATTTATCGTAAATTTTCTATAAAAAGAAAATTTATCGTAAATATTCTATAAAAAAAAATTTTTCGTAAATTTTCTATCAAAAGAAAATTAATCGTAAATTTTCTATAAAAAGAAAATTTATCGTAAATTTTCTATAAAAAGAAAATTTATCGTAAATTTTCTATAAAAAGAAAATTTATCGTAAATCTTCTATAAAAAGAACATTTATCGTAAATTTGCTATAAAGGAGGATTTAAAAAGAAGATTTATCGTAAATTTTATATAAGAAAAAAATCTCAAGAAATTTAAAAAAAAATAATTTATTAAAAATTTTCTTTCAAATAGAACATGATTTGGAAATTTTCTTTGGAAAATGCAAATTTAATGAGTTTTCAGTATTTGAAAAAATATGATTTTTACAGAAATGGTGTAAAATAGCAATCTCTTGAAAAAAATACTATAAAACACAATATACTCTGTGTTTAATACATGGCAGGAGGTAAATAAAAAGTTTCTGTTTTTTCTTCCATATACTTTTAGTTCTCAGACTTGATGGTAAATGGCTTAACACTATAGAAAACATTTGCAAACATTCTTGTTAAAATTTATGGAACAATTTTTGTCAGACGGTAAAAAAAGCTGCTGCTGTTGGACAAAGAAAATAAACTAGAGTTAAAACAGCTGCAACTACAGCAACAATAATAAGTACAACAAACGACAGTCTACAGCAACAAGAGTGGGTGCAGTTATAGACCAGACTATTAAAAAAAAAAAAACAATCCTAACAACAATTATCAGCAATTTGTATAATGTTTGCATTGTATTTTAACTAGAAAAAATATATTAAACGACTACATCAACAATAATAACAATAATAGTATCTCCAACTGATTGTGAGTAATACTATAGACAACAACAACACATTGCTGCCATTTAATATAATAAAATAAAGAAGCAACAACAACAACAATAGCAGCAATTGCAACAACACAAGTATTATTAAAAAAATAAACATTTAAACGTAATAAAGCAAAAATAAATTAAAAAAAGAAACGTGCTAAAAACAGCTGTTACGGTTTTCAACGCCACCGCCGGACCGACTCTGCTGCTGTCACTACATTTTGCAGGAGTGTGTATGAACTAAAGTAAACATATATGTACGTAAATATGTAGTATACAAACCAATAAACTTTCATTAAAGATCTCTTCTATAAAACCATACCTAGACATCGAATCACATACATTTGTATATACAAATATATATAAAGTATTCATTATTTTGTCCATATACATTAGTGTGAACGTGTGTAATTACACATTGTATCTACAACTCGAATAATGCCTGCCCATTCTATCTACAATCTGTCTAAGTAACTGACTGAACTGCTGCTGCTGCTGTTGTTGTCTCTGGTATCTATGTATTTTTTGAATTGCTGCTTGCAATTCACTCACCTAAAACCAAAACAACAAAAAAAAGTTCAGTCTACCATCTGAGTTTGCGTTATTTAGTTTGTTACGAGTCGTTTCGAAGTCTGCAAAGTGAACTGAACTGAATATTGAAGAAAACAAAATATAAAGCGATCGTTATATTACAAAAAGAAAAAAAAAAAAAAAAACGCAAAATTTTAAATAAAAACAACCATATTTTTTGTATTTATCATCAGCTTGTTTAATTCTCGTGCGGATTTTTACAATTTTATTATTTTGTTGTTGTTGTTTCGTTTTAATTTGTTTAAAATTTCCAGTGCTTGATTGGTTTTTGCTCTAATTATTTTTGTTTGCGCGGAAGACTTCAGTTTAGTTTTCGTTTCTTTTTTAAAACATATTGTAAAAAAAAAGATTGAAAAAAAACTCTTAAAATTGTTTCAATAGAAAAAAAGTAGTTCGAGTGCTAAATACATACATAAATTTCATTTACATTTAATTTTTTTCTTTTAAAATTTCAAGTTGCAAACAAAAAAGTGAGTGTTGTGCAATTAACGCTTTTAAATCTAAATTATTTCAAAATTATTTATTTAGACATACATGTTTTTAACACTTTTTTTATATGTTTCTTTTTTATTTTTACCATTTTAGATATTCAAAGTTTTTTAACGCGCTAAAAATTAATTTGCAAGTGAAAGAAACATTTTCTTAAATAAACAAAGAGTGAGTATTCAAAAAAAAAAAAAAAAAAACTGTTGACTGTTGTAAACATTTAAAATGTGTGTTTACATTTGTAAATTATTTATTAGCAAAATGTTTATTATATCTTTGGGTGATTAAATGTTTCAGTTTAAATTATTTCAATTTTTATTAATGTGAAAATTTGATAAATAAAAAAATTTTAATAAAATTTTATCTAAATTTTCAATTTCTATATAAATAAAAATTAACAAAAATGTGTATAAAAATCTAACGATATTTCTATAAAAAGAGAATTTAGCAAAAATTTTCTATAAAAAAATTTAAGAAAATTTGTATACAAAGAAATTTTTTCTATAAAAAGAAATTTAACAAAATTTTTCTATAAAAAGAAAATTTAACAAAATTTTTCTATAAAAAGAAAATTTAACAAAATTTTTCTATAAAAAGAAAATTTAACAAAATTTCTCTATAAAAAGAAAATTTAACAACATTTTTCTATGAAAAGAAAATTTTTTTTAAATTTTCTATAAAAAGAAAATTTATTAAAAATTTTCTATAAAAAGAAAATTTATTGAAAATTTCCTATAAAAAGAAAATTTATTGAAAATTTCCTATAAAAAGAAAATTTATTGAAAATTTCCTATAAAAAGAAAATTTATTAAAAATTTTCGATAAAAAGAAAATTTATTAAAAATTTTCTATAAAAAGAAAATTTATTAAAAATTTTCTATAAAAAGAAAATTTATTAAAATTTTCTATAAAAAGAAAATTTATTGAAAATTTTCTATAAAAAGAAAATTTATTGAAAATTTTCTATAAAAAGAAAATTTATTGCGAATTTTCTATAAAAAGAAAATTTATTGAGAATTTTCTATAAAAAGAAAATTTATTGAGAATTTTCTATAAAAAGAAAATTTATTGACAATTTTTTATAAAAAGAAAATTTGTTGAACATTTTCTATAAAACGAAAATTTGTTGAAAATTTTCTATAAAAAGAATATTTGTTGAAAATTTTCTATAAAAAAAAATTATTGAGAATTTTCTATAAAAAGAAAAATTATCGAAAATTTTCTATAAAAAGAAAATTTATTGAAAACTTCCTATAAAAAGAAAATTTATTGAAAACTTCCTATAAAAAGAAAATTTTTTGAAAACTTTTTATAAAAAGAAAATTTAGTGAAAATTTCCTATAAAAAGAAAATTTAGTGAAAATTTCCTATAAAAAGAAAATTTATTGAAAATTTCCTATAAAAAGAAAATTTATTGCGAATTTTCTATAAAAAGAAAATTTATTGCGAATTTTCTATAAAAAGAAAATTTATTGCGAATTTTCTATAAAAAGAAATTTTTTGCGAATTTTCTATAAAAATAAATTTATTGCAAATTTTCTATAAAAAGAAAATTTATTGAAAATTTTTTATAAAAAGAAAATTTATTGAAAATTTCCTATAAAAAGAAAATTTATTGAAAATTTCCTATAAAAAGAAAATTTATTGAATATTTCCTATAAAAAGAAAATTTATTGAAAATTTCCTATAAAAAGAAAATTTATTGAAAATTTCCTATAAAAAGAAAATTTATTGAAAATTTCCTATAAAAAGAAAATTTATTGAAAATTTTCTATAAAAAGAATATTTATTGAAAATTTTCTATAAAAAGAAAATTTATTGAAAATTTTCTATAAAACAAAAATTTATTGAAAATTTTCTATAAAAAGAAAATTTATTGCGAATTTTCTATAAAAAGAAAATTTATTGCGAATTTTCTATAAAAAGAAATTTATTGCGAATTTTCTATAAAAAGAAAATTTATTGAAAATTTCCTAAATTTATCAAATTTTTTATAAATGGTCAAAAATTTATTAATTTTTTAACTTAATAAAAATTTTTTTTAAAATTTTTAAAAAATTACTAATTTTTCCTTTTTCCTAAATTTCAGCTTTTACAAAAACAACAACCACAAACCAACAGCAACTAACAAACAAACAACATGGTTAAAACATTTCAATCTTATTTACCGTCCACCAATCGGACCTACTCATGTGTTCACTGTCGAGCTCATTTAGCCTCACACGATGAGCTTATCTCAAAATCATTTCAGGGCAGTCAAGGACCAGCCTATCTCTTTAATTCTGTAGTTAATGTGGCTTGTGGTCAGACAGAAGAAAGAGTACTGCTAACCGGACTGCATGCAGTCGCTGACATCTATTGTGAGTGCTGTAAAACACCGTTGGGTTGGAAATATGAACATGCCTATGAATCGAGTCAAAAATATAAAGAGGGTAAATACATCATAGAATTAGCACATATGATTAAGGAAAATGGCTGGGATTGAACGTAGTGAATTGCTAATAGAAAAAAAAAGTTTGATACTTTTAAGAACAAACAAAAAAAGGCAAAGAACTACTACTGAGCTACGGTGAGACGTGATACAATTTTTATATATGACAGCAAGAAAAAAATACTACTTTCTTTTTTGTTGAGCTGCTGGTCCTAAGGGAGAAATAGTGGCTGGGAGTTTAGTATAAGAACATCTACATCAGCTTCAACAAAATAATTATTTCAAACAAATACGTATTATTACAAAAACAACAAAGAAAACACAAATCATGCATGGGACTTATAAGTCTGATCACAACTGGAAAAGAGTAAAAGCACAAATGCATTCTGTGTATTAGGCCAGAAATGAAGATTTGTTTTGCAAATATCTTGGTTTAAAAAAGAGGTTTGATTTAAGTGTGTCTATTTGTGTGTTTTACTACTTTATATACATATATATGTACGAGTATTTTATAAGTAGCTATAATTTTAATGAAAAAACAAAATATGAAAATATATAAAATTCTAGTTAATTTTTAATTAATACTGAAGATGTAAAGAGTATTAACTTAGAAACACAACATTTAGTTAAAAAATTTCAATAACAACAACATCACCCACCTAAAAAAACAACACAAATCAAACAAAAGTTAAACAACTACACACACTCACATTTTCATAACTTCTTTTTATGAATATTAGATTTCGTTGTATTTATGAATTATGAAACTTCTTCTAAACACTCTGCCTCTAAATCTCCCTTATGAAAACATCATGTTTTTTGGACCAAATTTGTAAAAAAAAAAAACAAACAAAAAATCGTAAAAACTTAAACAGAAAGCATACTTTTATAAAAAATTTGAATATTTTTTATAATAAAAAGTGAAAAAATGCTTGCTTTAAATGGCTTTTCTTAAGAAAAAGCTTTGATTTTTAAATGTATTACAAAAATAAAAAAAACGAAAATTAACATTGTTGTACAATAAAAAGAAAAACTTGAAATTTAACTTCAATTTACACAATTTTTCATTTTAACATTTTCTTCAAATACTCGTAGTATTTCCTTACATTTTAAACAATTTTGTTATAATTTGTTTTTGGTTTTATTTAAGGGCCTTTTCATTAATGTTTTTGTTTTAATAATAACTGCTTTGCTAAATTCAGTTCTTATCATTGTTATCTTTTTTTTTTAATAATTTATTGACTTTTCCTGCTTTTATTGCTTAAAGTTAGGTAAACCTTTAAAAGGTTATTGCAAAAAATTTGCTCAATTGATAATGTATTACTATTTTTATATGCATTACTGTTTTTTTTAAATTCATTTTAAATATGTTTTTATAATCTCATTTTATGTTTATCATAAATTAAACATTTTCTTTTTTAAATGTTTCATATTATCAGTTTTTCAACAGTTTTAAAATGTTTAAATTTTTTTTAAATGTTGTAATTGCATTTTGTAATAGATTATGTTTTGAAAAAATATTCATAGAAATTTTCAAAATTTTCCCAATAATTTTGTAATTAATTTATTGCTGAGGTCTGACAAATGACCTAAGATACTCTACAATTAGTTCTAGTATTTTAGGATCATTCACCGACCTTTTGAAGATCTTATAAATATCAGATAAGATGTTGCGAACCTGTTCTACCTAGTACTACGACCTTCTTATCGCCCTATAGACAACCTATAAAACAGCACATTCTTATTGTATACAGTTTTAAGAACAATCACATAGTTTTTCACATTCGTTCCCATTTTGAAGATGTGAACCAGGCACGTAAAATTCAGTATTATAATCTTTTTTTCAGTTTTATTGAAAAAGAAATATACTGCAGTACCGCAGCAAATATTTTAAATAGATTTTTCTGTAAACGTTTGCTAATTTGTCCAAAGGCTGGTATGTAGATTACTAAATCAATAGACTAGTGCAAGGACTAATCTAATAGACTAGTGCAAGGCTTAATCAGCAGGCTAGCCCACAGATTAGTTCAGAGACTAGTCCAAAAAATAGTCCACAGAACAGTCAATAGACTAGTCTATAGACTATTGGATAGACTGGTCCATTATAGATTAATCCTTTGACTAGTCCAATAGATTAGCGAATAATCAATGGATTAGTGCAAAGACTAGTCAGCGGACAAGTTCATAGACTAGTCCATAGATAATTCAATAGACTAGTTCATAAATTAACCAATAGATTGGTCCATAGATAAGTCAATAAATTAGTATATGGATTAGTGTGTAACTAGTCAGTAGATTAGTTTATATAAAAGTCTATAGACTTGTTAATAGACTAATTCATAGACTAGTTAATAGACTAGTCCAGAGACTAATCGTAAGTTGATAGACTGGCCATAGAATTGTGCACTGCACTAGTTCATTGACTAGTTCATAAACTAGTCCATTGACTATTGCGTAGACGAGTCCATAGAATAGTCAACAAACTTCTTAGCGGTAGACTGGTCAATAAACTAGTCCATTGACTAGTAGATAGATTAATCCGTTGACTAGTCCATAGTCTACTTAGTAGACAAGTCAATAGACCGGTCCATTGACTAGTACATAGACTAGCACATAGAATAGGCAATAGTTTAGTCCGGTCAAAAGACTAGACCATAGATTAAAATGCCGAAAAGTAATTTGAAATGCCTGGTGTGAAACCCAAACTCATTATAAATAAAGTTCTTATTGTAGATTAAACGGCTCATAGTCGAAAATTGAGCTTTGCAGGCTTTGAATACATGTCCGAGCTTTTGAAAATAATGTTTTAAATAATTTTTCAAAATTATCTATTACAAATGAATTACTAATTCTTGTCTTATTCTATCTCTTTAAATATCTTTCTTCAACAAAAAAAAAAGAACACATACAATCAATACATTTCATATACACAAATACACTAAATGCCCATTAGTTATTTAAACTATAAAAAAAACTTAGTAATTTATTTATAAAAAAATTAATAAAACTATAAATTTAATAAATAGTTAAAACAAATTCTAACGTTTAACAAATTTTTTTAATAAATAATGTATTATAAATTAGTAATAACACAATTAGCAAGCAGTTTTTTTTCCGTTTTGTGTAAACCACCCTCGCTCCCAAATAAAAAAAAACACAAATTGTTTTAAATGAAATGAAATAAAACAGAAGAAAATTGAAAATAAAAAATTGTACTTATTTAAAAGAAAACTTCTTGAATAAAAAAGGCAAAGAATGCAAATTTCTAAAGAAAATATTAATAAATTTAAAAACTGCTTGCGAGGCGGTTCAAAATATGAAAATTTTAATAATGTGTAATTGGTATTAAAGAAATAAAATTAAAGTTTAAGGTTAAAAATACAATAAAACTTAAAAAATCTTAAACTTGTTATATGCATATCGTTAGCAAAACTACAAATTTGAATAAATTTGTAGTAAAATTTTCTTTAAATATACAAAAGTAAGAAAAACTATTAAAAAATTACATATAAAATCAAACTGTGATGCATTTTTGCTAACGATATGTTATAAATTACTTCCGTTCTGGAATTTGAAATATCTAGATTCTGCTTTTATGGAAAGAAATTTTACTAAATGTATTTTTACTAAAAGTAAATTTTATTGAATTTCTACATAAAAACCGGAATGAAGTTGTCAAATTATTTTTAACAAATTGGAAAGAAAAACTTCACTAAATGACTACTTTTTCGTATACTATAATATTTTTTGATCTCATTATTTTATAATTTATATATTTTTGTTTAATCAAAATTTCATGTTTAACCTTAAACTTTAATTTTTAAGTAAACAACTGTTAACATCAAATCTAAACAGGCTGCTGCTAGCTTGACTTTAAAAAAAAAGGCTGAAACAGTTTAAAAGCAGTAACAAAAAATTTTAATAAAATAATTAAAAAAAAACAACAAAAATTTGTTAATAAAAATATTAAACATTTAAAATTATGTAAAATCTAAGCTACTGTTTATGTGAAACAAACGTGATTGCATAGTAATGTTCTGGGAAATGTGTACGGAAAGGAATAAAAGGAGAATTAAGTTATTAAATTGTGGGAGTTTTAAAAGTAATTGCTCAAGACAAATTCTTTAAAGATTTTTCCATTTTATCAATAAATTAAAGTTTCACAAACGACTCACTAAATGTTTTAATCTCTAACAAGATGATTACTATTCCCCTGTTCAATTCCAATAATATTCTGAGTGCTACAAAAAGCTGTACGGAAGTTTTTTTTTTATATTACCAAAATTGGACAACAAAAACGTTTAAATTTTTCACATGCACGAAGTTGAGTTAACGTGGCGGTTGGAAGGTCAACCACACTTTCTTTTAAGTCTTTCGCAGTTTGATTAAACTTAAGATTTGTGAGCTTCTGACCACGCTATGTGTTGATCTATGAGATCCACACATAGCAACATATTCTCTCTAGACGTACGTGGTTTTATTGAATTCAAACTAACCGTTTAGAAACTGGATCAGAAACACAAAGATGCGATCGTTTTCAATTTATCACATAACGTTTCATTTGTGAACTTCTGACCCCGCTAGTTGCGATCGTTTTCAATTTATCATATAACGTTCTATTTGTGAACTTTTGACTCGGTTATCTGTTGATCTATAAGATCCAAACTCTAAGCCTTAACTCAGCAAGACGTCCTTTCTAGGCATACGCAGTTTTATTGATTTCAAATTAACCGTTTAGAAATTGGATCACAAACACAAAGTTACGATCGTTTTCAATTTGTCACATAACGTTCCATTTGTGAACTTCTGACCCCGCTAGTCGCGATCGTTTTCAATTTATCATATAACGTTCCATTTGTGAACTTTTGGCTTAGTTATCAGTTGATCTATGAGATCCAAATTCTAAGCCTTAACTCAGCAACACGTCCTTTCTAGGCACACAAACACAAAGTTGCGATCGTTTTCAATTTATCAAATAACGTTCCATTTGTGAACTTCTGACATCGCTATCTGTAGGTATATGAGATCCAAATTCTAATACGTCCTCCTTAGACTACGTACGTCTAGGGAGGACGTATTAGAATTTATTATACTCAGACCAACTGTTTAGAAACTAGATCAAAAACACAAAGTTGTAACAGATGATCTGATCACTCTATATGAAGATCTATGAGATCCAAAATCAACTCTGAAATACTTTTTTTCTAGTCTTATACAGACTAAACGTTTAGAAACTGGATCAAAAACGCAAAGTACGTTTTAACTTTTTCATTTATCGCAGGTTATTCAATATGTGAACTTCTAACCTTGTAGATCTAGGAGATCGAAATTCTTAGTATTAAATGACCAACACTATCTTTCTATCTTTCTAGGCTTATGTACACATTTTTATTAAATCACAAACTCAATATTGGGATCGTTTTTAATCCCATATTTTTGAATTTTTCTTTATAAACAAAATTTATATTGTTTTTCATAAACAGCTGCTTAGAAAATAACTCTTATATCATACAACTTTAGGTAATTGGATAAAAATCTATTCAAAATTTAATTTATAAATCCCTTATTAAAATATATATTTTCCCAAAACACATTTTCTTTCTAAACCAATTGGTATTAAAACATTTATGATAATAAATTATTAACTATAACCACTACTGCTTATTATAGTTTTAGCCTTGATAACAAATGAAAATATTAATTTAATAATTAATTAAAAATTAAAGCAAAACAAAAAAAAATCATATAAAAAAGCATTATAACTGCCAAGAACTTTAAATTGTTTAATGTTCTCTAAATGTTAGTTAAATATTAAAAAAAAAAAAATTAAACAAATTCAATAAAAACAACAAAAAAATATTAGAGTATTAAAAAAAAATTCATATAAAAAACGTGCAATTATAGCAACAATAATAAAACACACATAAATTAAATGTTGCAAAGTGTTTAAATATATGATAATAATTATTGCAATTTTTTTTAAAGATTTTCTAATTAACTTTTTGTTGTTCAATTTTGTTTTTTTACTATTTTGCTATAAATAACGTAAAATTACACATGAGCTTAAATAATATAAAAAAATATTTAAAAATAAAAAAACATTTTACTTACAAAATAAAATTCTTAACAAAATCAAAATATTTATTCGTTTTTGCAAGTTTGTAATAAATTAAAATTTTAATTTTGTAAAAGTAAATATTTGCAAAAATTTGATAAGTAAAAACCCCAATAGGCGTTTTGATATTTAAACAAAAAATAATTTATAGAAAATTTAAAAAAATTAAATAGTTTCTACATAAAGTAATAATAATAATAATAGTACATACTGCCCAAGGTGTATAAAACTGAAAAAAAACTTAATTGATTTTGCATAAAATTAGGTTTTAATTAAACTGCAGATTAAGTGAAAATAAACAGATAAACAAAGTAGAAGGAAATTAAACAAAAAATTTTAAATAGTTAATTAGTTTGTTTAAAAAGAAAATTTGTGAAGTTTAAGTTTTTAAAAATCTTTGATTCAAATTGCAAAAGGAAATTTTGTCTAGTTTAGCCTCCAGTAAATCTTTGTGATCACAATTCTATGCGTTTATTCAATACTCGCTCTCTAGATGTACGCAGTTATATCCCTACAGTTCGATAAAGAGTCATGGTATCCGAAAATGACAGTGATTTCCACTAACGTCTAACCACCTGGCTGGCTTTAATTTGTCTTTCGTCACGGATGTACTCTTTGTAAACGGGGGTGAAGATAATCGTCACTTTAGTGTCCCTTTTGTAAGCGAGAGAGGGGACACTTAAAAAGCACTTATCTGCCTCTTCGTAACTTATGGGGTGACAATTGACATCCTCGTAGGACAAGCACATGTTGAAATAGCTAGTCACCTGGGCAGTTGGTGGCAAGGTGTAACCATATGTGGTAGGGAGTTCGGGACTGTCCGACCGAACTGCTGGGATTAAAACTTAGACTAACCGTTCAGAAACTAGATCATAAAAACAAAGTTGCGATAGTTTTTTTTTCACATACCGCAGATGCTTCACTTTGAGAACTTCCGGCGTCGTCCTCTGTAAATCTATGAGAACGAAATTCAAAACTATAACTTAGCAATGCTTCTTTGGATTAACGCAATTTTATTAAAATCGGAATTTGAACCATTTGGACATATAATATCAAATACAATTTACCAATCGACCCATGTCCTTTACTTTGGCATAGTTAGACTCCGCTACTTTAAGATCTATAAGATCCAAATTCATAACTGTAACTCAGCAACATTTCCTGTTTAGAATAACCATTTAGAAAAGTATCACAAAACACAAAATTGTGATGGTTTTCTCAGATGTTCTATTTTAGGAACTTCTGAACCCGCCCTGTAAAGATCTATGATCTTATAACGATCCAAATTCAAATCTTAAGCTCAGCAACATTTTCATTTTAAACATGTTAAGTTTTATTTAAATCGAACTAAACATTTAGAAATCGAAAGGTAATACTTTTGAATTCCCTTTTATCCCATTATTTTCGATTGGAGTTTAAAGAATACCTTCCGTATTCATAAACGGTTGATAAAAATATTGATGGTTTATTATAGGAATTTTGTATGGAACAAGTGCTTAATAAATCATAAATAAACGATTAAAAGCTTTATGAATACGGGATTAGAAATCGATTTTTTAATACCTGTTTATTTTACGCTGCAGTTTAAAATTTATATAAAATGCACTTGATAATGAATTGCACGTTTTATTTCTTTTTCCAAAAGAAAATTAAAATACCAATAACTACTACTAAAGAAAACAATGCAAAATAAAACCAGAGAAACAAATATTTACAAAAATAAAATGCAAATTATAATAAAAACTATAAACCCTTGCAATTTCAAACTATAATTTAAAGAAATCTTATTGAGTTGAAAATTAAAAACTTTGAAATAAAACAAACTGAAATTATTAAAATTTTAAAATAATTCAAAAATAATTATTAAAAAAAACCCTGATTTCAAAACATTCCTCATATTTAAAAAATAATTTCCATTAAAAAAAATTGTCATTTTACAATATTGAAATAATTATTTGAATTATTTTAAAAATTTTAAAGAAAAAACAAAAAAAATCTTTAAAAAATATAAAAAACAAGTTCTTAAAAAAACTAAATTGAGAAAAATACATTAAGAAAACAAACGATTTCAAAAATCTGTAACCTATATTCTGTTTTAATTTATTATTTAAGCAATTAATAACTCTATATATATGTTTAAATTTAAAACAAAACAAAAAAAAAAAAAACTGTATTTAACAACAAAATATATCTATATATTTAAATTTAAAACAAAAAATATTTAAAATAAAATGTCTATTTTCTCTACGCTGAAACAAAACAAACAAAAAAGTACCCCTTAAAACAAACTATAAAACTATTTAATATTTAAAAAAACCCCAAAAAAATATATAGATAAAATATATTTTAGTATTAAATTAAAAAATAAAGAAAATTCAAACAATAAATTAAAAACAAGTGCAACCTACCAATCAACACAACCCACTTCATATTCATACTTTAAAGCAAAAAAAAAAAAAAAAAACTTACAAATCTCAAACAAAAATTCGTCTGATAAACTATAAAACGTCTATAAAGAAATCTAAAAAATACATAACATTTTATACATTCATTATGGTAATTATTTTTAAATTTAAATTTTACACTTGATTATACATACATATTTATATTTTATTAATTTGTTTAGATTTTAATTATTTTTTTAAAAAACATTAGTTTTAAAACAAAATCATATACATTTATACATTATACATCAATTTATCTATCTATCGATCTTAACATGTAAACTTAGATAACGAATTGCATATTTTTTATGTCGTACATCATATTATAATTAAATTTAAACATTATAAAATTTCATATTTAAATACCATACAAACATACATACATGAAAAACAAAAAAACAAAACATACCCATGAACTACTTTTATGGCTAATATATAAGAGCAAAGTGATATAAATTATAAATTAATTAAATTTAATAAAAATAAATAAATATTTAAAAATAATTTTGTAGTTGTTTATTGTTTTAATTATGTAAGAAAAAACTTTTTATAGATTAGTTTTTGTTAGATAAATATATAATTTAATATAAATTGTATGAAGCCTCAATTGGTTTGATCAAAAAAACGAGAATTAAATTTGTAATTCCTAATCGCAGTATTCATAAATGCATAATAAAGTTGTTAATGGTTTATTGTAGGAATTTTGTATGGAAAATGTGCATAATAAAAATTAATGATTAGTATCTTTATTAATACGGGGTTAAATGTTTAGTATAACATTTTATTAAAATTTTCAAGCCTAGAGTAAATATGCTTTTGAATTTTAGACCTACAGGAAGCTTGGTGAGGAATGCCTAAAGATCAACCATAAATTAATAAAACAGATTAAACTTTCAGATGATATAACAAAATGGGTTTATTCAGTCTGTTAGTTACTTATTTATGTAGTTAGTTAATTAGTTAGTTAGTTAGTTAGTTAGTTAGTCAGTTAGTTAGTTAGTTAGTTAGTTAGATAGATAGTTAGTTAGTTAGTTAGTTAGTTAGTCAGTTAGTTAGTTAGTTAGTTAGTTAGTTAGTTAGTTAGTTAGTTAGTTAGTTAGTTAGTTAGTTAGTTAGTTAGTTAGTTAGTTAGTTAGTAAGTTAGTTAGATAGATAGATAGTTAGTTAGTTTGTTAGTTAGTTAGTTAGTTAGTTAGTTAGTTAGTTAGATAGATAGTTAGTTTGTTAGTTAGTTAGTTAGTTAGTTAGTTAGTTAGTTAGTTAGTTAGTTAGTTAGTTAGTTAGTAGTTAGTTAGTTAGTAGTTAGTTAGTTAGTTAGTTAGTTAGTTAGTAGTTAGTTAGATAGTTAGTTAGTAGTTAGTTAGTTGTTAGTTAGTTAGTTAGTTAGTTAGTTAGTTGTTAGTTAGTTAGTTAGTTATTAGTTAGTTAGTTAGTTAGTTAGTTAGTTAGTCAGTTAGTTAGTTAGTTAGTTAGTTAGTTAGTTAGTTAGTTAGTCAGTTAGTTAGTTAGTTAGTTAGTTAGTTAGTTAGTTAGATAGATAGATAGATAGATAGTTAGTTAGTTAGTTAGTTAGTTAGTTAGTAGTTAGTTAGTTAGTTAGTTGTTTGTTAGTTAGTTAGTTAGTAGTTAGTTAGTTAGTTAGTTAGTTAGTTAGTTAGTTAGTTAGTTAGTAGTTAGTTAGTTAGTTAGTTAGTTAGTTAGTTAGTTAGTAGTTAGTAGTTAGTAGTTAGTTAGTTAGTTAGTTAGTTAGTTAGTTAGTTAGTAGTTAGTTAGTTAGTTAGTTTAGTAGTTAGTAGTTAGTAGTTAGTTAGTTAGTTAGTTAGTTAGTTAGTAGTTAGTTAGTTAGTTAGTTAGTTAGTTAGTTAGTTAGTTAGTTAGTTAGTTAGTTAGTTAGTAGTTAGTTAGTTAGTTAGTAGTTAGTTAGTAGTTAGATAGTTAGATAGTTGGTTAGTTAGTTAGTTAGTTAGTTAGTTAGTTAGTTAGTTAGTAGTAGTTAGTTAGTTAGTTAGTTAGTTAGTTAGTTAGTTAGTAGTTAGTTAGTTAGTAGTTAGTTAGTTAGTTAGTTAGTTAGTTAGTTAGTTAGTTAGTTAGTAGTTAGTTAGTTAGTTAGTTAGTTAGTTAGTCAGTTAGTTAGTTAGTCACTTAGTTAGTTAGTTAGTTTGTTAGTTAGTTAGTTAGTTAG